GAAAAACCATCCAGTGAACTATCTATAATATCCATAATCAATGATACCAGTTATATATTATTCATATAAAGTTTCTTTTTGTTTCGACATGTACATTTTTTCTGAATAAGCTTAAGGTATATACAGTTTCATTATTAAATACGTGTATATATAAATATTGTTGCAGTGCCGTATTTTCCTGTAAACACTATAAGCTAGAGCTTAAGGCCCCTGCAAACCCTATTAATTTTTCATCAAAACGACCTTAGCGACTGACAAAAATTAAAGTACTTCTAGTGGTTCGATTTAAAAAATGTAAAGATGTTTGAATTGGTCAACAAGTCTACTTTGCATCGGTCGGAGCATATTTTTTATATTTTAGATATTTTTTAATATATTCAATATTAAAAATGTAAAAATTTTTTAAAATGTAAAATATTTATTCTCGTCAAGCATTTGTTAAAATTGAAAAAGTGCTCCGACCGATGCAAAGTAAACTTGTTTACCAACTCAAACATCTTTACATTTTTTAAATCGAACCAATAGAAGTACCTTAATTGTTGTCAGTGCGACAGCTATTTCACGTTCATAAATTGGTTTTGAATATTTTAATCTAATAGCTTTAAGTGACATGTGCATGTGCGTGCGTGCGGCGTGCCGCGTGCGTAATATATTTAGCCGACCGGCGGGCGGCGACCATTACACTAATCGTTTTCGTTATCGGTATTTCTACGAATGACGATAAATTATTGACAAAAATACTAAATAGGTTGGTAGATTACGGATTATACGATGAGCGTAAACATTATTTTGTTTTATTTTATGATCGTTGCCCTGAGTATACGGGAATGTTGTAATTTTCAGTTGCTCTTAGGAATAGCATATACTTCACCTTAATTTTTAATACAAGACTCCTGATATATTTTAACAATAGTAGTTGAAAATATTAAAAATACATAGACACAATTTTTTTTTTATAAGCATTCAAAGTTCGAATTTTGACCAATTTTATCAAATTTATAATTTAAAAATTATTTTGTAGTTAAACATTTATAAAATGTTCAACTTTCATACCTAAGGATTGAAATTTAAGAATAAGGTACCACGTAAGTAGGTTATTCTGTAACCAAAAAATACAACTTACCGGGAACCGTATTTTATAATATGTAATAACAATACCTATATAAATATAATATAAAATATCCACCTTACAAACCGTCTCTTTTTCGTATACAATGATATTATATCATCTTACCCACCTTTTTAACAATATTAGTTGTACTGTAGTGGATGTGTTGAATTTGAAAACGATAATTAAATTATATATTCAATCATTGAATACGAGTAATCCTGATCGAAGTCATTTGGTAAGCCATATTATAATATTTTTAAATTAGCTACCCATAAAAAAACTGATATTGTTTTTCTCCTGACAAGTAACAATATGTTTTGTTTTATGTAGGAACGAAATAATTGCCTAAACACAACTCCTTAAAAATGACACATTTGCAGGGGCCTTAAGGCGGCAATTTTTCAAGGGCGGCAAATAATTTTTAATATTACATTTTTATTATATACTTATGTAACTAGAACTAAAATAAATGCAACTAATTATAGATTATTTTATTTTATTAAAGCCGATGGGTACTAAGCACTAACTATTTAATTTTAAATATTATTTAAAAATAAACTTTAGCATTTTTTGTTGCCATGTTTTTATCATTAAGTTTTTCATATTAATGCATACTATACATTTTTATAACAGCTGTATATTTTTATTTTACATCATTAAAATTATAAGTCATAAAAAAAACAACTATAATGCTTAAATAACATTTTTTAGACCAGAAAAATATTTATATTAAAAGGTGGCAATTTGTTTAGTGCTTAAGGCGGCACTATAGTTAAATCCGGCACTGCATAATTGCTAGTTTTTCTACGTTAACGCTCAGGGCACTGCTGTCGTCGTCGCAATCGCGCACCGAGGGCGGCGGTCGGGACTTTGAACCTTACTGCAATGTCACAATCAACCACACTCGCAATCGAGAACAAAAACAAAAAAAATAAATTTCATTTAATTACTACAAAGTTATATAACGACCAGTTAAGCATTTAATGGACGAATAAAATGTTCAAAAATAATTCGATCTCTGTAAACAGCATTTACGTTACCGACAAAATGGATACTTCAAATAATGATAAATCCTCGGAAGTCGGATGGTCTTTAGCTACGACGTCTAAAACTAAAATATTTCATTCGAGTTCTTCCAAACATAGCTTACCACAAACACTATTGCAAATTATCGACCGATCGCTTGAAAATAATGACATCAAACCTTGACTTTTACAAAGCTTTGGTCCACTTTTTGAGAGACAAGAAAGCTGAATTTCATACTTTTTCAACTTAAGAAAGATAAACCAATACGAGTAATGATTCGGAATCTTCACCCAACCACTCCAATTGAATTAATCAAATCTGAACTTGAAATCCGTCTATTTGAAGTTAGGCAAGTTTCAAGTGTTCTCCATAAGATAAATGAAATTCCACTAGGTACCTCTATTTTTTATTACTTAAAGATTTTTATTTTTGGTGCTTTAGATGTTCTATTTTCCAATGGAAATAACTCGACTTATGAGATTCGCTTTTCTCGTGTTCAGGAATTCTTGTATGAAGTTTTCTTCAATTATGTGTTGCAATCTAACCATAATCCCTCTGCTGAAGCCAGAATTGAAAGCTTAGTCATATGTGGCTGAATATTTTACATGACAGACAGAGCAAAGTCGCTTTTTCCTTACTCCAGACTAACCAGTCTCTTTCTACACATTCTCCATTTGCTAGTTTCTTCTTAAAAATGGTGTTTGGCATGGAAAACCTTTGGGAGTCCTCAGGAAAAATGGCTGGTAGTTTTTCATGTGATTTTTTAATGTCAATATCAATATTAAAGTTAATTGATCCCCTGTCGAAATATTTACTCGTATTAGATGACACCACCAATTATTTTTATTTTCAATAGATGAAGATGACAGTTCGAACTGTCTAGATTCAGCAGTCTCGAATTTAGAAGATGACATTATGTTCAAAGGACACGGGCAAAGTTACTGCTGTCTCATTAACTGAGGAAGCAACTGATTGAAGGGTTGAGTTATAGTTCAATAATGGATCTTATATTATCCAATTCTAATTTTCATTTTATACCCTTAAATAAGAATGCTAAAGTTCCCGTAGATAATTATAATCCTCATATTAATGTCAATTACTTTCAGTTCTACTCACCTTCTCCGCTATCTTTTTCCGAAGAAACCTATGACTGGTATAAGGGCGAATATAATAATATATTATCTTTCCTTGGTTCAATAAACTGGACTGAATTTTTCAAAATTAGTAATGATATTAAAACCATTATTGATGAATTATATTATATATATGAATTTTATTTACAAAAAGCACTAACTAACAGCTAGCAATTTTGGAGCTATTTTAACAAGTATAACAAAAAATAGTATACCAAAATCTCTATTAAAATCATTAAATAATGAGTATAGAAATCTTACAAACGTCTATGCGATAGAGTGGGGTCTGGCAAATGAACCAACTGCAGTAAATATTTTACAACAAACAAAATATAGTTCAACTTGGACTATGGTTACAGCTATGTGGGTTTATTGGAGCTTTACCATACGGTATCATAGATAAAGATGATATTGTTGAAATAAAGTGCCCATATAGGTATAGAAAATGTAAATTATCTTATTCTGAAGATCAATCATACATTATTTACAAAATTAACAATGAAGTATTTGTTAACGAACACCATAATTACTGGCATCAAATACAAGGACAACTCTATATGACCAAAAGAAGTAGGTGCTTTTTGGTTGTATGGACTCCTAAAGAATCTATCATAGCTCAAATATTTAAGGATACAAATTAGTCAAAAAACATAACTATATTAAAAAAGTTTTACTTAGAACATTATATTTCATACATTTTAGGGGAAAAAAAATAATCAAATACAGTTAATAAGTAATAGATGAAAACAAAGGTTAATTTCATAATTTATACATACAATTACACTTATTACACTAACAAATAAACTATTATGTTATATTTTTATTTTAATGAACATGAATCATTTATATTTTATCTTGAACTTCTTTGATCAAGAGAAATTATAAATTTGTGAGAGCAGAAACTACTTTAAAAATACAATCAATATGAGACAATAATAATGTAATGTTGGGACATGATTTAAAATCCTATAACATTTGATCCTACCAATGGCACGTTTAACGTGTATTCGAGCTCTAGCAATAGTTTCGGTTAAATAAATCTGTTCTTTGGTAAGTTGTGGTGTATCAAGAAATAGAGGTATATTTAAGTGAACGCCAGTAGGCAAAATGTCTCTGACCAAAAACTCTTTATCTCTTTATCATCTAAAATCAAATCTCTTTTTTCTAGTTGAGCTAATAAACCACTAATAAAGTGATCATTTTATCAGATGTTGAGCCTGGGAATAGATTGCTACAAAATGTTACAACACCATTTGGTGAAACTCTTATGAAAGCTTTTAAGGTATGATAATGTTTATAATTACTATAAGTAAATTTCTGAGCAATCATCGATTTTCTAGTTACATCCGTAGAGAAAATTCTGTATAGTCTATAATAATCCTACAATTAGTAAATGAACTGAAAGCATTTGGCAAGCACAATTTATTTTTATTTCTAGAAGGTATTTTATTCATACATTTTAAGAATAAAGTTTTATAGAGAGCATGGACCCAAGTAATAAATATGTTAGTAACTGTAGCTCGACTATAATTAAAACGTTGGGATAAATCTAAATTAGGTAAGTTTAATCTTAGTTTCATAAATGTTAATAATAATTGATCACGAGGACTAAAAGTATTTAATTTTCACTTCAAAAAGTAATTCAAATTTATATATTCAAATATCTCATAAAGAAAATTAAAAACTATTGAATTTGGTTAACCAGTATAAACATTAACCAACTCATCGTTGTTACATATAGTTTCATATGAAAATACAACTGACAGTTTATATATTTTACTTTTTTATTTTTCATTTTCTTGCTTTAGAAAATAATTTTCAGCTTCTAATACTATTGCACTTGGAGTTGATGGTGAAGTTTGAACAGAAACAAATCTAAAAAAAATATTTAAGTATAATATAATGATAACATGATATACATAATTGTACTTTTTTATTCATTGTAAATTGTTATTCATTTGAAAATTGCAAAAAAATGTAAAGCATTAGTAATAATATTATATAATAAAATATAATACCTCCATTTAAAATGGTTATAAAACAATTTTAAATCTTAAAAAGAGTCATCGTTTCTTTAAAACTGAATACACTCATCATTTGGTGAGTTTTTTTTTAATTAAACCCTCATATCAATTTAATTAAATAAACAGACAATACAAATACTAACTTTTTAGTTTAAGTTTAGATCCATGTTCTCCAATATTTTAATTTTTGAACCATCATTCACTTTAGATTTGATATCTCTAAAAAATAATAAATATCATATTAAAAAACTGACAATTATTCTTTTTAAAAATAATACTTCTAGCATACTTTTCCAACTTTAGTGCATTTTGTTGCAAAAAAATCATCTCATTTGATGCCATATTTGTAGCCATTGATTCAGCTGCTTTTTTTTGATTTCTTTGCCTTTTCTCAGGCGATGCAAAGTTATATGTGACATTTTTTTTCAGATGCTCTAGCAACTCTGGGCCATTAAAACGAAGTCCATTTTTAAAATGACAACTACATACAACACATCCACGACCAGGTTGAACACTTCGCCTAAATATTTTCAATTTCAAATACAATAATATGGAATTTATATTATAAATTGTAGTATAAATGAAGTAATACTCACCTAAGTAATTTAATCCACCTGTTACGAGATTTAGGATCTTTAGGAAAAGTAAAAAATGTACAAGTCTCTCTTTGGTTGTGATGATTACAACCAACAGCCCAATAGTAACTCATATTTAAATAAAAATATAATAGTTATACCTAAATGTATACTACTTTTATAACGAACTTATAACATGAACGATGAGTAATAAAAAAAATTAGATATTAAACATTTAAAACATTATGAACGACATAAACATTTAATGAAAACAAAAGTCACTGATAAGACTCATTTTGGCGCGCATTTTTATTTTGAATTAAATTTAAAAACTATTTTACTGTTTTATAATTACAATTGTATAATATCATGACTGAGATCAGCATTTTTAACTAAAAAAATGTAATTTAAAAGATATCTCTGTGTATTTCTTATGGGAATAAAATTTGTTTAGCCTTTGTTTACTTATGAAGTCCTTGGATTACGTCACACTCACCTCCCGTGTTCTGTGTTTAGACACTCCTTACAGCAACGGCCGCGTGTATGTTCTACCCCGCGTCTCCCGCGTCGTGCGTTCCTCCGTGCCATCGTGTTCCGTAAACGGTCAACGGACATTCAGCGGCCATATTCCGTCTAGCGCACCGCGTCCTCCGCTATTCGCACCGTCACCGTATCGGCCGAAAGTGTACGCTCGTACTGTATGTCGCCTGAGACGACCATTGCCTGGCTACATGTCGAACAAGATGTCTATGTCCTCTGCGCGGCCCCCGCCGTACCCGGGGATCGTCAGCACCAGCAAAAGCGTCATGTTGCCCCAGCCTCCCGACGACTCCGTCTCGTCGATGGCGTTTAGCCCGTCCGAGGCCACGCAGAACCTCATCGTCGCCGGTAGCTGGGACAACACGGTGAGCGTCTTGTTCCGGCCGGCAAACACCCTGTGTGTGCCGTTCGTAATTTCCGGACGATGGTGACCAATGTGGTGGTAAATGTTTTCCAGGTGCGGTGCTGGGAACTCAAACCCAGCGGCCATGGCGTACCCAGGGCCTTGCAGTCCATGACCATGCCGATATTGGACGTGTGTTGGAACGACCAGGGCAATCATGTTTTCATGGCGTCCTGCAACAAACAAGTGCATTGCTGGGACTTGATGAGCAATCAGACGGTACAAGTGGCGGCTCATGACGCGCCCGTCAAGACTTGTCATTGGATCAAGGCTCAGATGTACAACTGCCTTATGACCGGCTCGTGGGACAAAACATTAAAAGTATCTACTCTACACACATTGTATTTCACTGTAACCTAACATTGCTTGTACTACTAACCCGATTCATTTGTTGTAGTTTGCCTTATAACTTTTGTGTACCTTTTCTACAATTTTCTTGCATTAATTTGTTTAATGTACTGCTGTAGTCGGCTGATGTTAGGATATGTTGATTTAATTGATTGTTGTAATCGTATACCATATCATTCCTATTCTATATTGCATGTGATACTGATTATAAAAATCTAAAGCATAGTTTTCAAGTCGAACAACAAACCATTTAAACATAACATGTTTAATTTATTAATGTTTGTATTACAAAATTTATCTTCGTATGTATCCTTTAATATTGTATTCTACATATTTATTTTTTTTTTACACTAAACCCTTCTTATCTTGGGTTATAAAATTGTTTAACATCATTTAATACTTAGTCTTATAAAAGAGAACATTGTTGATTTGTGTACAATTATTTTTCTATATAAACATATTTCTCATTATCGATATTCATAAATATATAATTATAATAATACATTTAAACTTAATTCTATGTATTCATATGCATATAAATATTTTATGAAATAAAACCTTTTTAAAATAAATTTTAAATTAAAATTTAATACATTTTGAGTTATAAATATCTTTTTATAACTTATTTTTATAATTAGGAGTATGATTTTTATTCAAAATAGGTACAATTTAAGCTTTTTCAATTGTTTATACATAATGTACTAATTTTTCATATTTCTTTGATATAAGTTTTTTATTTAAATATTTTATTATGCACATATTTAGGACTAAATTCTTATTAAAAATGTTTAAAATGTGTATTAGAAAATGTTACTTTATAAGAATATAGAACTAGTAGTATTTCATTTACTAAAAAAAATTATTGTAGTTATAATATCATTGTCATATACTAATTTTATTTCATATCTATATGCAGGGTTGGGTAATGTCTTCAATAGAAGTATCTGTAATACATATCTTAGATAAAATAGTATCTTGTATTTCGATACTAATAATAATAAACAAGTATTTCATATAGATGTTATGAAAAAAAGTTACTCAATAAATTAAAAATATACTTTAAAAAAAACGTTTTCATAATATTTTTAATTTAAAAATATTTTCAATAATTATTATCAGAAAAATTATTTTTCTAATAAAAATATCTAAGTACCATTAATTTTATACTACTTTAAAATCAATACTTATACAATAGATATACATTTTATACTTATCTAAATTTTTTTTAGTGAAGGTATGCGTCTGTATTTTATATTTTATTTTGGGGTAAGAAATTGTTTATAATTTAAGTTTAGTAATTTATCATCCTAGCAATCTGAGTGACTGAAAGATAAAGCTTAAAACCATAGATACAGATGGTTGGCACTTGGCACAGTAATTGCGATTAATATTATTTTTGTAAATGTTGAAAATCTGAATCAGTCATTGCCGCATTGCGCATTAAGTAAACATTTTTGGTTTATTCATACCCATATTTTTGTTAGTGTAATTTTTTACCAGTCTATGTTCTTATATGTTTGAAATAAAAAATCAAAATAATTTGTCCAACCCATTAATTTGAATATAAATTAACTTTAATTAACCTGAAAAACTGAAAATGATAATATTAAAACTGAATGTGTTCTTTGTAATTACAAAAAATGAATATAGTGGTACATTAAGATGGACATCCAAATTTCACATACATATAAAGGTTAGTTTCTTTACTTTAAATAATATAACAAATTAAAATTGGTATGATAATAGGTAAATTTATAAATATATATTATTTTTTATTTTTGTATATGTTTTATTTTTTTTATATTTAATATATTATAAGTTATAATATAGGTATTAAAATATGTAATTTTGAATTTAAGAGATTATACTATCATGTTTGAAAAATTTGAAAATTATGTTAAAACTAGAATGACGTCGTGGTAGAAAAAGAAAATTAAATTATTCAAACTTGATGTTCATACAACAAAAATTAAATTTTTTTCAATGCCATCAATTAATGAATCAAAACAAAATCAATTGAAAAAAAATGTTTTAAATTATATAGTATGTAGCATGAAACCATTATCAACATTAACAGTACATTTTTTAACACACTACTAAGTAATCATAATTTATAAATTGTTATTTATATAAATAATTGTAATTTGTGATTTTCAGATTGATGAAAATACATTAATTCGGTCAAGTTGTGTATTAGTTTGTAGACGATTTCTTGGTTGTTATATGCATAATAAAATTGCTGAATTGCTACATGAAATAAAATGTGAATATTCTATTGAATGAGATCAGTTAGTTTCAACTATAACTGATAATGGTGCTAATTTTGTAAAGGCACTCAAAGAATTTGGTTGTGAATTTAATTGGAATTTACTCACTAATGATTTAAATCTGATGGTGTGGAATATAAAATATAAATATGTCTATGATTATGTTTTAATTAAATTTTTTAATGTTTAGAGCAAATACATATGAACTAGCAGATGAAAAAGAAAATACCAATAAACCTTTATTTGAGTTAATCAAAATAGATAATACACTAAGACAAGCAACTACAATTTTTTACCTCATAATTTATGCTGTGCGAGTCATACATTGAGCCTTATTGCTACTACAGATTTTATCAACATTCTAAAAGGGACACCAGCCATAAGACTCAACCATTCTGTAATTGATAAATTTACTACACTGTGGAATTTGTCACGAAGACCAAAGTCTTCAGAAATTATACATACTATATTTGATGTTCATTAAAATGTCCATGTCCTACTCAGTGGAATTCTTGTAGTATAACTTAACTTTTAAAATACAAATATAAATTAAATTTAGTTATAAATTATAGCTTTAAGGATATAGATTTTAAGTTTTTAGAAGAATTAGCTGCATTATTAAAACCCATTGCTGGGGACCTAAAATTAATTTTATTGTATTAAGTATTGTATATTGAGTATCTAATATTTAAATACTTAAAATTTTTAAATTTATGTATCAATTAACTTGTATTTCAAATATTTATATAAGAATTATCTAGTTTCTTGTATCTAGATACCAATAATCAATGTATCGAGTACTTAATTATTTATATTAAAGTATGTTGCCCATCCCTGTCTGTATGTTTATAAAAAAATCTAAAATCTAATATATTTTAATGATATTATCATTATATTATTTGCTTTTCTAATAGAATTATATTATTTGTGTTGATTTTCTCATGATTCTATTTTACAACTAATGGTTATGGTTATTTTTTTATTGTTTTTGGGGTAGTTCTTACATACCTTGAACAATTATGTGTAATTCTTAACATTTTCAAAAACTTTCTAATACTTATATGATGTTTATTAGTATGTTTTAATTGTTTTTGACATTTCTCTGCTTCTGTATTTATACATTTATCTATTGAGTATGTATTTTGTTTTTAATTCTTAAAAGACACTCCATTATTCTTAATTATTTTTCTATTGAAATCTGTCAACCAAGTTAACAATTACTTCATTTGAAATTTCTACAATAACAAATTTCCCACATTTGATAATTCTGTTCTATTCACTAAATCTTTCATTTTAACTTTTCCTGTTTTTTTGACTAAAGAATAACAAATATTACTTAAATAGAGAGAATTTCTTTTGTAGTCCATATTTATTCAGATATGTGTCTATGTCCATAACCTATTGCCTTAAGGATTATGTTTGTAAATTGATTTAAACAAAAATGACTATACTTCTTTTAGTAATAAGTAATATTTTACTAAATACATAATATACACATAAGTAATATTATAATGTTGTGCCTACAGTATGCAAAAAATTGGTCTTATATACGAGTGGCCTATTGACCCTGTTATTGTAATACATAACATGATTTACATATTTACAGATAAACAACTATGTTGTTTTTATTGCACAATATGATGTTACTTTTTATACAATATTAAATTATATTCAAAATTTTGTAATGACTATTTTTTGTTTGAAAACTGAAGTTTTTGTTATGATAACTGTGTTATCTAACCATAATTGTATTTTTTAAGTAGTAATTATGTATTATTTTTTCTTCAATTTGTTTTGGAATGTGTAATAGTTTAATAATTGTGTTGGTTAGTAAATGGATATGAGTAAATGAAAATTAAGATGATGAGATATACTGTTATAAAGTGAAGATTTTGTATTGACATTTGTGGCTATTTGGAGTTTTTCTAGGTGTTGTGAAAATTGATAATGGTGATTTACAAATTGGTGTTATTTTTTTTTAGAAATTGAAGGCAAATAACGTTTCATATCCTTTGTTACGGACATACACAAATGTATGTCCTGACAATTACCAATATATAGGGGGACCACATAAATCACAAATAGTATAAATCGAGTGAACGATATAGAAAGAAATAATTAAGACCCGAGGGTAACACAAACACATACTATATATGAACTGTAAGGCTACATTTCAAAGTATGAATGCAATTAATAATAGCGCATAACAAAATATGGGATATGAGCGAATAGTAATATTATCGAGGTCAACCATTAAAATAACAAATTTAGTAATTCTTTTTACAGTAATTGGAAATAACTTATTCCATAGAGATGCGCGACTGATTCTACGAAACTTGAGTAATTAGCACCTCAGGGTAGTGACAATAATTGGAAATAGCCTTGTTCCATAGTTTTGCGCGGCCAATTCTCACGAGACCTGAGTATATAAGGAGTTGGGAATAGACCAATATTCAGATGTGTTTAAGACGTGTTAATACACGTTAGCGAGCATCTCCACGCCAGTTTATTTGTTAATTTAATTAAATAATTTGTACTTAGAAATATTTCAATAAACAGTTTAACTTAGTTTGAGTATTTTATTTGGAATATTCCTAAAGACATCATCACTTTTACGGTTGAACTGACGGCACGCAACACCTTCTTATGATACAACTTTTTTGGTGAACTCGCATGTAAAAGATCAACAATTTCATAAGGTACATGTATTGCGATTTGCTTAAAAAGTATTTTAGATTTATTGTTATGGTCATCAACCAAAAATTAATGAGAACTAATTTACTTCTTTTTTAAATCATCAATTTTCAGGTAAACAAGATAAATGTTACTTATATTATATTTATTATATATTTTGAATAATAATGAAGAGAAAATGATTTGTTTCTTTATTTTATCATTATAATATTCTGAAACATATATATTTATACTGTTATTCTATAACATAAAGCAGCAAAGAGCAATTTTATAGAGTGATGTTGTTTCTTTTGGTAATAATAACAAATTATTTTTGTAAACATTCATTTTTGAAGTTGACTGGTTTTTTTGATAACTATGTTATTATATACTTAGGTTTACTAACAGTTAATTGATTAACCTTGTCGACTAAAATTCTTTTTTAGTTATTTTATAATCAATATATGAAATTTAACTGCTAAAATATATAATAGAATAAACGGGCCTGAATTGGTAATTTTTTTTTTAGATCTTTAGAGAAACCTAATGAATGTAAATTTGAACTATTTTTTAAAATCTTAATATAAATAGTATAAACATTTATTTCCACGAAACAATAATATTCACTGTTTGTTCATTAAATTAATAAAAAATAAAATATTTATTTAATATTTCATATTTTTATTATAAAAAATGAATTGTAACAAAGAGTTTAATACTTATAGTTATAAATAAATAAGTTATTAATTAAGCAATTTTGGTACTTGCATTTTTCTTTACTTAAAATTAAGCTTATAATAATTTTGTAAAATTTAATTTATGAAATAATGAAGCCTATTTAACATTTATGAATAAATACAATCAAATACAATTTTGAAAATAATAATTCTGAAAACAATCTCAAATTTTAAGAATCCAAAAATTATTTGTTAGTTTTAGTTATTAGTAGGGAAGAGGATTTACAGTATTTGTATATTTGTTTTTCACAATCACAAAAATAGTAGAGTATAAAACAAATACGTTTCATGCTTTCACAAAGCTAGCCTTAACATTTTATTTTGGATATAAACGCATATTTCTTATATTTTATATTTTTAGATGTAGGTATATTTTAAATGATTTATAATTTTATCAATACGTTTCCTTTGACATTTTTATTTTAACTAATATACGACTAGAATATTGTTGAATTAAAATAATTTTATTTTTTGATCATATTGTTGTTGAATGTTCATAGATTCATATTTTTTCTAGGAACACGTCTCGAGGGTCGCCGATTACATTAATTTTATTTATAAACAGTAAATACATTGTTCACAATATACAATTCACGATAAAGCTTAATATACATTAAACATATTTTGTATTTCTATCAGATATAATTACCAGTCTCGAAATAACAAATATTGCACTATGTCGTGCGATTGAAGTACCGGTTATGCAAAATGTCAATTTAAAATTTTAAGTTAAGTTACTGGTCCAACAAGAAAAAATAGCTGATGTTTTAAAAATAATATCTAATTTTAAAATTTAATTAAAATTATTAAAATCTTAAATGGCGAGGAAACTTTAATGAATGATCTACCTGGAAACTTAAGAGTAATTGATTTAGTCTATTTTTAAATACACCACAAGTAATTCAGTCGATGTAATGTGATTGTTTTCAATGTTTGAAGTATTATTCGCTGGCAACAGGCAATCTACTGGTTTAAGGAATTTTTTCTTAAATACCTACTAGGAATTTTTATTTTTTAGGATCAGAAGAAAAATTTTCAAGAAATTAAATTTTATAACCTATTTTTTTAAAAATGATTTACATATTATTTAAAATAAAATATAAGAGTGGTATTTTTAATGCATATTATAGTGTTTTTAAGTGCATAAGTGCTTGCATATTTAATACTTTTTTAGAGCTACAAATCCTCTGCCTTATTTATTAGATACAGAATTTCTAGATAATATATATTATTCAATTTTATATCGGTATAATTTCATTACTTTGTAAAAAAAATTACAATAGTAATAATATTAAATAATATTATTATGAAAAATTCTGTAATTATAGCCTCTATTTATATTGGTTATTTTATTTTTAGTTTTGGGATTTAAGAAGTTCAAATCCAATAATGACCATTAACCTGAATGAAAAAGTTTATTGTGCTGATGTGGTAAGTTATATTAATTTTGAAAAACATTATTTTCATTATTATAATTTATATTATAACTACAAGTAATTTATCTTACGCAAAATATTTATATATATATATATATATATATATATGTATATTTACATATAATTGTAATATTCTATATTATTTAGGACTACCCGTTTGCAGTTGTTGGTACTGCCTCTAAGGGTCTGTTTCTTTATAAATTGGAAGGACAACAACCTATATTTGTAAAATCTATAAAATCACCACTTAAAAGTCAACACAGTTGCCTAAAAATTTTTAGAAATGTGAAAACACAAACTCCTGTTGGTTAGTTAGGTATAAAACAATAATATTTATTTCAATTAATCAATGGTTTTTAATTTTCAGGTTTTGGTATAGGAAGTACAGAAGGCCGGGTAGCTATTGAGTATGTGGTGCAAAATGCTTCAAAAGTAAATTTTACTCTTGAATGTCATCGACGACCAATAGGGACTAAACCTGAGGTTATTGATATATATGCTGTATGTATTCATAAACTCAAATAATATCAAAGTTATTTAATAAAAATATTTGCAGGTGAATGATATTAATTTTCATCCAGTTCATGGTACATTAGTGACTGCAGGTTCTGATTCGGTGTATACTTATTGGGACATAGATGTCCATGCAAAATTGAAAAGTTCCGATCAACATGACCAAGCTATTACTAAATGTTGTTTCAACTTGAATGGGCAAATATTTGCTTATAGTATTGGATATGATTGGTCAAAGGTTAGTATATTATAAGTTCATCTTAATAAATGATTAGTAATAATTGTATGTGATTGATGACTACCAGTTACATTGGTATAGTCCGTTCCAAAAGAGAAGACTCGAAGTGGTGACGGGTTTTCGTTCGGCGGTGCGCATTCCTCACCCACGACTATTGTGTGTCGCATTTTAATTATGGTGTATACATCATTGGCAATGATCGGAAATAGACTTAAGTAACGTAAAACAAAACCAGGTGGAAAGGGAAAAATTCGCAGAAACCGTGTCTTCTCTTTTGGAACGAATTATAGTTAGATTTAATTAAAATATTTTATTATCAGTTTCAAAGTAATGTTATTTGTTATTTTATTGTATAAAATTAATTTAATAATAGTTTGACATAATTTTATATTTTCTCTAAACATGTAACATTTGTAAATCCTTATAATTACATAACATCTACTGTGAATTATTTTGACAGTAAATATTTGATTTTTACTCCTACAAAACATATTAGTATTAAATATTAAGTTAATAATTTTCAAAAAAATATAATAGAATAGTTAGTGTTGTGCCCTGTGTATGTACATTTGTCGGCTGACGCGACGGCCTACGTGACTGTAGGAATCGCGTTGGACAGCAAATTCGGGCTCTAACTGGCGAACGGCTACCACGGTCAGCGCGAGCGAATCAGTCGACGTACGGCCTAAAGTGTGATAGAACCTCTATAGCGTTTTTGATAATTAGTTAAGTAGTTTAGTGAAATAAACTAATATTTACAGTATATAAATTAACAGTGTTTTTCCTTTATTTCTACATGGAATTTCCAAAAGTATAATAGCGCTCAAGCACACATTTGGTGACAGCGGTACAGGCATACAATTATTTAATTGTGCATCGTCGTGTTTTTTTTTTACCGTGGCCGCCGTTGTACGCCACCGCCACAATCGTTCGCGTTGTGTACAATAAAATCCCACTAGCACGCATAAAAGTGCATTTACATTAGAGCCCGCATACGAACGAAGACATTCGTTTGAGTGCGGTCGTGATCGACTGAAGAGCGGTAAGATTAAATAAACCGTCCATTCAATATGAACGGCATTCGGCCCGTATGTGTTGTTTGCGTCGTATTTTATGTTAAATATTTTATTTAGACTCAATTGTGAAGAGAACGGACGATGAATGTTCACATCTTATAAATTTATATAAATCAAGACCAATTCTATGGGATCCTGAACATCCCCATTATAAAATGGGCAAAAAAAAAATTGACTTCTGATTGGAAATAGCTAATGAATTGACACGAGATTTGAACGAAACGAAGGAAAAATGGAGTCTACTAGGATCTTCTAGAAATTTTTGAGTTTTTAAATTAAACACACGTTATTTTGGCAACACGACTTCACTCGACAACGGTTTGATCGGTACTAAATAAGTATACTAGGTGTATCTGAAGGCAAACCTTGAGCGCACGAACGAACGGACTAATATAAACGATATAGCGATTCTTCGTGCGGGGTAGCGTTTGTGCGCCATTCGCTCGTATGCGGGTTCTAATGCAATTGGTAGTATCATATCTCAAGGTGTTCCAGGGCAAGACTGTCCAATTGCCTACGCTTTTCGGATACTCAATAAAGCAGAGCAAGCATTCAGCACTACCGCCAAAGAATTGTTGAGTATTATTTGCGCTGGAAATGTTTTCCATCCATATCTATTGGGATGCAAATTCAAAATTTTCATAGACCATCAGCCACTGCCGAGGTTATTTAACGTTTAGGATCCCGGATCTCGTCTGATGAGATGGAAGCTTAAATTGGCCGAATACAGTTATAAGGTAGTATATAAGCCCGGAGTATCCAACACAAATGCGGATGTACTGCATCGAAGAAGTAATGATCGTAAGAACCAGATCCCAAACATCACAGCAGAATAAGAATATGACTTAACTAAATTTTTGGTTGCTGCGCCAATGGCCAATAAAGAATTAAATACAGTGACATACCATTTCGTTACTTTCTTTGTATGCATTCATGGAATGCTTCAGAATATCGTAAGTGATCAAGGAACTGCATTTCTAAGTCGGGTTTTCATTGAACCATGCAAGTTGATTGGCATAAAGCATAATACTACATCACCTTACAACTCTCAGGCTAATGGAGCATTCGAAAGAAGTCACAGAACTATGGGAGAATACCTTCGACAATACGTAGACGTTAACCAATAAAACTGGGACATTTACATTCTGTATGCTATGTGTGTATAACTCCTCAGAACATAGCTCTACGGGTAAGCAACCTTATGAGTTATTATATAGCAAGACACTGTTAGTACCTACTTCACTAACGAACGCTCCAGAAGCGCTTTATAACTATGATGATTACCAAACAGAACTAAAACAGAAGTTAAAAGAATCCCGCCATATCGCGCCAGAACATCTAATCCAAAAGAAACAAAGAACTAAGATAAAGTATGACCAAAGCGGTCATTCCATTGATATTCACGAAGGAGATAAAGTTTTAAACCAAGATAAAGTAAGAAAAGGCAAATTAAGTGCCAAATGGCTTGGTACTTACGAAGTTTTAGAACTAAATTACAATGAAAATGTTACAATCCGTAAATGTAAAAAGAAGGCAAAGATACATACAAATCTTATAAAACCTTTCATAGAATAATAAGAATTACTAACATTTGTAAATATTTGTATAACAATTGGGCTTAACATACAAAAAAAAAAAAAAAAACTATTACAGATCAATACTCTTCATTCTATTTAACATCGTATTTGGGAAAACAGGATACATTATAGAACTAGTACCTCAATCAAGAATCTTGTATCAACTGATTGGTACCATACATCCAGTGGGCAACGAATTTAAATTAGTCACGTTTATGAATATTTCTGCTTCAGACATCAATCATAATAGTATCGTGGTTTTTCATAAAAAATTAGAAACATATTGCAGAAAAATGTAATTAGGAGCACCCATCGACATCTATTCGTTCAAGTTGCGAATGGATGAAAACCAGCATAACATTTATTTTTCATCAAATTGAACAAGTTAAAGGAGAAATTCTAGGTTCTAAAATAAACTAATATTTACAGTATATAAATTAACAGTGTTTTTCCTTTATTTCTACATCGAATTTCCAAAAGCATAATAGCGCTCACGCACACATCAATTGTTATATTTTTTTAAATACTGTAAGATAAATTAACATCCTGGTGTAATGATTAAATATTTTATTTGATATAATTTGAATACATCTTGAATCTCAGTTATAAAAATGTTAACATAATTTTGATAATTTTGAAATAATTTTATATAAATTTTTAAATCAACAAACAATAGACATATTTAATTAATTATTTAAATTTTAGATTTCACTTGGCCTATTATATTATTAAATATAATTTAATTAAATACATTTAAATGGTATAAATAACGGGTTTTGATTAACCAGTATTAATAAATAATTAAAAGTTATCATAATTACATAGAAATAGAAGTAATTTAAATAATAATTAATTTTACATTGATGTTGATTTTCTTTAATTTCAACTGTTAATAGTATTTAGAGTGTTCAAATCTAACATTCTCAGAAATATGCAATGGAGGCGGTTACTTTATCATTTATTTAATTTTTAATTGTAACACAACAATGATTAATAATAATATTACAATACAAAATGAATGTAATAAAAATAAATAATTTAATTTACTTATGATTCTTCAATTTTTGATTGCATCAAATATATATTTGTTAACCAGGAGATTGAATGCATAAAAAAAAGCATTATAAAATAATTAGAATAATTATTTTACAGTTATTTGAAAAAGTTATTTTAGATAATATTGTGAGAATGGATGATGTATATCATAAGTTAACGGATAACTAACTGCATTTAAAGTTATGTACTTATTTTATGTGTTTTAATTGATTTTCAGGGGCACGAGTATAACAATCCATCTAAAAAACCACAGATAATCTTAAAACCTTGTTTTGAAGATTCAAAACCTGAGATTCAATAATTAAATTGTACATTTATTTTTAAAATTTGTATTTTTATTAAAAATTAAATAAAGTAAAAAGTATATTTTATGTATTTATATTTTGTGTAAGCAAAAAAGTTTATTATTATAATTACATTTTTTAATATTGTTAATATAAAATTAAGTTTAGAAATTTATCGTTAATAATGATTATAATATTTCACACACTTATATCAAAACAGTAACGACTCAAAAAATTAGTATTTTTAGTTAAACCTATAATCAGATTCTGCAAACAAAATTACATAAATCAACAAAACAGGTTTATCTTTATTATTCTCCGTCAGATGACAGTGTCAGTACATTTTGTTGAATGAATAATAAGGATGTACCACCAATAATACGGTGGTTATTTTAGTTACTGTTTAGACATTAAGCAGATACCACGTAAGTTAATTAAACAAAAATGTTTTATTTTGAATTATAACAGTCTTGTTGAAAAAATTTGTTTAGTTTTCAAGTTTTATTTTAAATTGATACGTTGTTGATGACTATAATTGCTTTAATCTACGATTATTCATTGCTGGATTTCGAGTTGCGACAGTGTTAGTTATTTGGGTAAGTGAAAATATTTATGTTTATTTTGACTTCTTTCAGTTTTATAGAAAAAATAATCATATTATTAATTACATCATTTTTGATGAAAAGATTTGTTTTTCTTATTAATTCCTATTTCTTTGAGAATTATAAACGTAAAATAAAGTGAAATAATGCTTTTTTAGAGTTTAAAGATCTTTGTTGTTAGAGATCTTTGAAAATACTTAAGTACAAATATTGGTAGTTGAGTTCGTAATTGTTTATTTTTGAGTTGGCACACTGTTGATGGTTTTCAAGAGTATATTATAGAAAAATATAATAATATCTATGTTTTAGAAATATGAGTAAACGTGTGAAATTATTAGTCAGTCTGGCAAGAGAAAAATATGAGGGAAAAGTCATGCTTAATATTTCATCGCAATGCAAGGAGTTTCAGCCAACTACATCAAGTTCTAGTTCCCTTAAAATATCTATAATAGAAAATGAACAAACGGATTACTTTATTTCATCGATTCAAAGTAGCGAAAGTGACTATGATGATTCTGATAAGGATTCGAATTTTGAGTTACCTCCTAATAAAACAAAAACATTATTTCCTTTTATTATTCCTTCGTCCGCTTCATCTTCAACTAGCAGTAGCTCTAGCGCATCAATTAATGACAGCAGTAGTTCTAGTTCTGATACTGAAGATGAAAATGTAGATGTTTGTCAAAATCCTGCTATATCTGAAGTTCATGAGCAAGAGCCTATCACAAAAGAGAAAAAGGGAAAAAAGAGAGTCAGAAAACCTTCGATGTGGAAAATAAACGTTACAAAAGTATTAATAAATTCAGGCAAAGCCTACCATTTTTCTCTAAATCAAAGAAATAAGTTTCAGAAAGAAAAATTCGTTCACCCCGTGAAAACAATTGTCGCCTGAATTATAAAAACAATTTCGATGAACCTGTAAGGTGTTACGGACATATATAAATATGGGTCCTTACAATTTTTACAACATGGGCGGGACCACATAAATCTTAATTAGAAAGATCGGGAAATGATTATGAATAATAAAGTATTCACAATAATAGAAAGGAACTATTAATCTAATTAGAGGGTGATACGATGTTTCAGACATACATAAAATTAGATCCTTACAATTACAAATAAACAATTGAAATCAGTGAACAATGTTGAAAGGAATAATTAAGACCCCAAGGTATCACGAACATGGCTACATTTTTAATAAAAACGCATATGAGAGATGTGCGAATAGTTATATTAACAAGGTCACTAAAGTGATAAATCTTATATTTATAATAATCGAAAACAACTTTCGCACAGCGCGGCACGATTAATTCCCACAAGACCTAAGTATATAAGGGGGTTGGGAATAGACCAATATTTAGATGTAGTTTATACGAGTAGTCGCAAGGCATCTCTTCGCCAGATCATCTTTTAAATTAATCATTTGTACTTAGAAAATTTTTAAATAAACAGTTTAACTATATTGAGTATCTTTAATTGGAATATTTTCCTAAATCTTCAACATCTTTACGATTTGAGGACGGCACGCAACAAAGGCTTCAAATTTTTAATGCATACTGGAAACTAGCTGATCTTCAAAGACAAAGAGAATTTATTGTACAACACGTACAAGAAATAAAACCAAAATACAGGTATTCCAGTATACAAAATTTGAGAGCTGTAAATACCTCGTTTCATTTTGAAAATTAATGGGTCAAAAATTAGAGTTTGCAAGACATTTTTCAAATCCACTCTTGACTTGAATAATAAAGTTATTAAAACGGCCCTTTCTAAAAAATCAGAGTTCGGAGAAATAGAAGGGGAATTAAGAGGCAAACATGACAATTAGCCAACTATTGATCCACAAATTAAACAAAGCGTTTTAGATTTTATACATTTTATTCCACGGATTGAATCACACTACTTGAGAGCTCAAACAACAAGAGAATTCATCAGTTGTGATAAATGTCTAACGGATTTATACTGGAATTATAAATCAGTACGTGAAAACAACGGTTTGCTTTTTGCTACGGTATCAACATTTAATAGGATATTCAATACAGATTTTAATATTTCATTTTTTGTTCCAAAAATTAAATTTAAATATTACAAAAAATATTACATTACAATATTAAATATTATATAAAGTATATAAGTGTAGTATATTTTTTTGTCTACAACTTTGCCAATATTATATTATAAATATATGCTTTTGGAATATTGACTAAAACATAACTTCCAACTCATAAACTGTATTAATACCGTATTTATAAAATCATATCAATCGTGTACATTTAAAATTTTTGGTATTTACCTACATAGTAGATTAAATTAGTACATTACAACCGGCTATTTTAAGGATTTAGATACGGATTGACGACGTATACTTAATAATTGATAGAATCTACAAGATAATAACTAATCAGTAGATTAGATTAGAACTTTTCACCGTACATATTTTTGTCGGAATACTGTAGGTAGGTGGATACTATACGTTAGTAAACCGTGTATATTTCAACGTACTTATTCGTACAGCCATTGTACACTTTGGTATTGATCTAACAAGAACTAACAGATTTGTAAAATTCCTTCGTAGATGTTTTTGGACATTATTAGTGTTAAGTCAGTGGTTCTCAACCGGAGTGTCGTGGCATGTTACTGTGCCGCGAGATCAACTAGATGTGCAGTGAAAAAAGTCTGATTTTTGAAAATACCAATTGATGAAACTATGACAGCTAAATGTCAATTAATTGTGTAGATAAGACGATACATATATAGGTAAACTGTACGATTCTAACCCAACTGGATATCTTAGCGTGTAGCTAAAGTATTTGTTGTTGTCAAGTGCATGAATGTGCCGCAAAAACTTATAATGTATAATGATGTGCCGTGAACAAAAAAAAGGTTGAGAACCATTGGTGTTAAGTATTTCTTGTCGTGATCAATGGTGTATTGGTAAATATATTTGCGGATATAGGTAGGTAAGCACTAAAAAAATATGGATATTAATGCTAAAATAAATTTTCTTGCTTTGCTCGACAATTTTTTTTTTTCTATATGTTCAAAAAATGTAATTAATCCTTTTTACCTACATGTTTATAACTTCTAATAAAATTAAAAAATAAAACACTACAAGATAGGTATACATTTTCCGCACTTTATAAATTGCATGATGTAGATTTATGAACCATGGGCTGACACTACGTATTATTTTATTCAATGTTATTAACTACATTTAACAAAACACAGCATACACTGTAATCTTCAACAGATAAATATTTCATTCAATTTCATAGTTCATAAAAATTATTTCCAATGAACTATTAAATTATTATTTTTTTTTTTTGTTTTCGAGTTATTTTTGAAGCCTAACCTAAACTGTAGAATAATATTTTACATTGGGTATACAATGAAAATCGAAAATCTGCTGATGGGTATACTCACGTATACGCACCTACCAATACACCCCTGGTCGTAGAAAAAAAAAATCAATTGTCTCTTCGACGACGCTCAATAATTTTTGTTTGTTCAATCATCGAACTGATTTGCAAGAGAGTATACGTGAAAAATGACGCGCCACAACTTGGAACATCGATATGCAATCGAACGAAACACCACCGTTCGCCACACTCTCAATAACCGTAAATATATTATACGGCAGCAACACCCAAAATATCGCTTAACTCTTGAACATATATTATTGGACGTAGATCATAGGCGTGCGCACGGGGTATGCAGGGTATGCCGCTGCATAGTCTGCGGCTTCATGTGAGGGGCCCAGTGGCGTAGCCAAGGGGGGGTGGCTAAGGGGGCTATAGCCCCCCCCATGGGCTGTGTTTATATATATAATGTATCTTGACTATTTAATAGAATCAATGGATGCTCGTTTTAATCAAAGGCTTATTGATGTTATGCCACTTGAAGGACTTATTCCGGCCAATTTAAATATGTATGACGATAAAAATATTATAAAAACTACTAAAATATATGTCCAAGATCTCCATGATGATACCTCATCTATAATCAGAGCTAACCTGTTCATATGGAGGCAACAATGGAGTCAAAATACTATTCCAAAACCGAATTCTGCTCTTGATTCACTCTCTCATCACACCAATCTTCGACCTAACATTAAAGTACTTTTACAATTATTCGCCACGTTACCAGTTACCTCTTTCACTCCGGAAAGAACGTTTTCAGCACTTAATCGCTTAAAAATTTTTTTAAGAAGCACCATGTCGGAAAACAGACCGAATGGATTAGCTATGGCTAATATAAATAAAAAAGAGCAATTCCATGAAAGTGAAATAATAACTGAATTTGCCAGAAATTCGCCTAAGAGGATGCAGCTGTCAGAGTGGAGCAAGGGACTGAACACTAAAACCAAAATTATTATTATTATTATAAATTATATATTAATAAATATTTTTAAAACTATACTAAAATGCTTGAATTAAGTTTAGAAACTTGATGGTAGATGGTGAGGGGGGGGTAAGGCTGAATTCTCATATCCTCTCTTACCTTACTTATCCAAAAAAGTAGTTAGCCCCCCCCCCACCACCATTTAAAAATCCTGGCTACGCCACTGGAGGGGCCCATATTTATTATTAAGTTAAGAAACTTTAAATTTAATTACCGCCACAGGAAATTTAAATCAATTAAAGCTTGATAGTAATGATATTTCAATATTGAAGGAAAAATTTAATTTGAATACTACATTTGAGTCTGAAATTAAGCTCATTACAAATATGTCTGATAGAACTTCTATTAGAGGGTTATCAACTAAAACAATTGTAGTATGGCTGAATTGGTTATCAGAAAACGACCGGAAAACAATATTTTCAAACTTCAATAAAGCTTTAACACAATTTGCAACAATACCTGTGACAAGCTGCTCGTGTGAGAGGGATTTTTCTAAATTGTCTATTGTAAAGTCTAAACTTAGAAACACTATGTTACAAGAACGTCTTGATTCACTGATGTTAATATTTATTGAGCAAAAGATGGCATCAGAAATCAATATTGAAGATGTAATAGATGAATTCAAAGCATGTGTGCCGATAAAAAGAAGACTTGAACTTTAGATTTTAAGTACTCTCCATAAAATAACAACATTATAAATATGTTAAAATTATTCAAAAGCATTCAATATAGTACATACTTGATCTTAAATAAATAATAAATTTTTTTTTAATAAATATAAATCAAATTTCAAACTACTTATTTCTACAGTGCATTGTTTAATATTCTACTGTAAAATTATGTGTAATTTTAGATTCTAAGGGAAGTAAAGAAGCTACGTAGTATATATGCAAAAACTTAGATTGAGACTTGAATCTTATATGCGTTAAAAGAAAATGCAAATAAATTAAGGGAAGATTAGAAAATTTATTTGTGAGGGGCCCTATATTTCTTATTGCATAACCTTCGAATAAAGTCTGCGCACGCCTATGACATAGATAATGATTGAAAATAATATTTATTCAATAAAAATGTCGTATACATTTGGTAATAAAAAAAAAATTATACAGATTAAGATGCTGATAGATTTTGGAATTCATTGTACATTTTGTAGTTAAAAAATTAAACGCAGACGGCTTAGATAGATTTTAGGAATATACAATATCCACTCAAAATTAAATTATGATTAAATACGCACTTAAAAATAAAAAAATTTATCAAAATAAGATTTTGGGAAAACGCTTGCGAACCAACCAAATTTTCATATACCGTTCAAATATTTGATAAGTTTATTCAATTATCTGTACTTCAAAATTTCCATTTTTTATTAAACATTGTAAGACCATATGAGTATTTCCGTTATTTGCTACCAAACTCATATGGTAGTCCATATATCTCCTGAAGTCAGGATTTAAATTATTACATTAATTAGAGTGGTACGCCAAATAAATT